CAAAAGGGTACCAATATAATCAGTATGAAAAATATTTATTATATATTAACCAGGGTACTTTGAGGCGGTTAGCAAGTTTGCCTCGCTAGAACGATTACGCCTGTGCAGTGAGTTCGATCACTAACATTCGACCTTGTGCCACATTTAAGCTACGCTTGGAAAATCACTATTAATTCTTGACCATATGGCAGAAATGAATCACGGAAATAAAGGTTTTATGTCCGTAATTTTCGGACACGCCTGTCGTTCTCAAATAGACATTTTCGGCTACACTGGCCACACACAAGACGTCTTACCCACTCAGCAACCTATGACTTTTCATTTATGTTGATAATCTCACCACACCACCCATCTACTACTAATAATAGACCGGCCTATCGCTTTTACACCGATCAAAATTTTAATTTTAAGTTCATTTTCATAAAAAGTTTCGCACAAAAGTTTTCATAAAAGTTTTCGAGGAATCAGACAGAGACCGGATTTTTGCTAATAATATGATCTCCACCAGAAAATACACCATCCACAAAAACATCTGTCAGTGAGTAATTCCCATTTCTCTGTTTATTTCTCAGCCTGTTGATAAAGGACACAGGCGTGTCCGAAAATTCCGAACGACTTAAAAACTTTCTTTCCGTGCTTCATTTCTGTCATATGGTAAATAATTAATATTTAATAAATGTTTTTCGTACTTATTGCATTTGTACCCTTTCGTTTGTCCTTGTTTTATTAACTAAGCTATCTATTTTACATTATATATATATATATATATATATATATATATATATATATATATATATATATATATATATATATATATGTATTGTATATATTTTACATTATATATATACATTAAGAAATGGACAAAGTCCGACAATTATTTTAAGACGTTTTTATGCTAATACATTCTTTTTATAGATACAAATATTTAAGTCAATGCTCCGTTTATAATAAACAGTATTAATAACATTTACCAGCCTGAATGATCCGAGAAATCTTCACAGAAAATATTTGTCCTCCGACAAGAATCGAACCTGTATCCTGTACGGAACTGTCATATAGCCTGACGTGCCTTAGCCGATTGAGCCACAGAAGAAAGTTCGGTTAGTTTAAAAGCAGTAAAATCGACCTTGACTTAACCAAACGATCCTCTGTGGCTAAAATGTCTATATATATATATATATATATATATATATATATATATATATATATTTTATATATTATATATATATATATATATATATATATATATATATATATATAGTGGATATGCTGTTCCTCGATCTAAGATTTAGGCTCACATAATTTACTGCCTGTCTCTACTATTCCGCGACCGTTTCGTCGCATAGCAAATTTCTATGTAAACAAAACAGGATATCATCTCTGTTGTAATGTCCATATAACCACTCTGATGATGGCTCATGTGAGCCGAAAGCTTAGCCCGAGGAACAGAATAATAAAAATATCCTGTAGAACCGAGTCCAACTTATGGTCGTTAGGCCCTATAGATGAATTATTTAATTCATCGCACTTTCCTTAGTATATGGGATGTTCCTAGTAGGGCGATTTTCTGGGCAACTTGTATGTTGATGTTACCGGGGACACTTAGTAAAATTGTCCATTCCTTTTCTCACGAGGCCCAGATCTCCGATTACTATTGGTACAGCCTCAGTCTTAATTGCCCACATCCTGTTAATCTCGATCTCCAGATCCTTGTATTTGGACAATTTCTCGATAATTTTCATGGTGATGTTTCTCTCAGATGGTGCTGCTATGTCAATAAACATACACTTCCTGAATTTCTTTGCCTTTTATGATGATATCAGGTCTGTTGGCTTTTATTTCCCTGTCAGTTTGAATTGGCATGTCCCAGAGGATAGTTACATCGTTATTTTGGGTAACTGTGTCTGGTTGGTGCTCATACCATCTCTCAGTGGTTTTGATTTTGTGCTTCTTGCATATCTTCCAGTGCACATATACTGCTTCCTTGTTATGTCTCTGGGTATATTCATTTTTTTTTGTCAGTTCCAGACATGCTGAGATAATATAGTCGACAGTTTCATCATATTTTGCGCAAATCCTGCATTTCAGGTTAGTGCCAGCCTTGATTGTGTGACAGTGATAGAATCTGGTTGCGAGGCTTTAGTCCCGTGCTGCAATAATTAGGCCTTTTGTTTCAGCTTTCGACCCGGTGCTCCTCAGCCAATGATGTGTTTTCTGTTGGTCCACATCTGCTTCTTTCGTTCTTTTTAGGCATTTGTCATAAAACGCCTCGTTCTCCCAGTTATTTTGTAATTTCATTTGGTCGAGTTGTTTTGTTTTCTGCTTTACGCGTTTGGCGTAGATGGTATTCGCTTCGGTTTTTGTTGGTAGGATTTCAGGCATATCAGCTGTTTTTTGGAGAGTGCAGCTTCTTTGCCGATGGAGTGGATTTAGTGTTTCACTATTTGTAGATGAAGGTCATTGATTTTTGTAAGGTATGCTTCCAATCAAATTGTGGTAATTTCAGTTGGATGAGACCTCGGCCTCATAAAACTTTTGGTACGTACAGCCCATCAACATCTGTGCACTTTTCATATCTTCCAGCGCACATATGTCGCTTGTTATGTTGTCATAATCATTTTTTGCTAGTTCCGGACATCCTGAAATAATATGTTCGAATTTCACACAGTAGTTTCACCCGACACAGAAAATTTCTACGAAACGAAAACATTAACCTCAAAACTCGAATCATGCTTTGCCAGATCCAGAATTTCATTTGAATGGCACCAGTATACAAACGTTTTCTAAGATCAATGGTTAAAAATGGCTTTGAGTGAAGCCTAGCAATCTTGGTGTATACCACATTTCTTCGAACATTATGGACTGGCGCTACAGAATCAAAAACAATGAACCTTACCAAATAACTGATACTGTATCACTTACAGGTGACCAAAAGCAGCAACAACTAAAACGGATTGGACATTTTCTCAAAGAGAAAATAATGACATAATCGAAACGTTAAACTATTTTATATGTTAATTCGACTTCAATTAAAAGGTTAGGACTTGAGAAACCTTCATGATTTGCTTGTTTTGCTTTATTTTACGGCATATCAACACCTCAATGGGTTATTTAATGCCAACAAGATTTTTAGGGTAAGTTTATATAAATTGGATATGTATTCTTTATAAGAAATCAGTTTGGTTTGGTTTATTTTGTTTTACGGCATATCAACACCTCAATGGGTTATTTAATGCGAACAAGATTTTTAGAATAGGTTCGTATGAATAGAATATGTATTCTTTGTAAGAAATCAGTTTGGTTTGGTTTATTTTGTTTTACGGCATATCAACCTCAATGGGTTATTTAATGCTGACAAGATTTTTAGGATAGGTTCGTATGAATAGAATATGTATTCTTTGTAAGAAATCAGTTTGGTTTGGTTTATTTTGTTTTACGGTATATCAACACCTAATGCCGATAAGTTTTTTATGATAGGTTCGTATGAATAGAATATGTATTTGTAAGAAATCAGTTTGGTTTGGTTTATTTTGAATATCAATATGGGTTATTTAATTCAAGATGTTTAGGTAGGTAAATATGAATAGAATATATTCTTTTGGTTTGGTTTGGTTTATTTTGTTTTACGGCTTATCAACCTCAATGGGTTATTTAATGCCGACAAGATTTTTTTTATTGCTGGTAATATTTTTTTAAAAATGTATTTCTGGTAATGATTCTTTTAGAAAAATGTATTACTTATATTAAAACCTATTTGTACACTTTCATAACACTGTTAACTCAGTTTGTGGGTAAACTATTTAGCTGGGTCCTTAACAGATGTTACTACCCCGGGTCAAGGTAGACCTGGGAACACCAGTAATTAAGAGGTGTTTCCACGCTCCTCAAAACCTCCTGATCAGGGGCCTTGCTGCTGGACGTAGTTTAACGTCATACCCAGGACGCTATGTTTATGAAAAATCTCTGATGAGAAAGGTTTTATAAATGTCAGTAGTACTGGCTGCTCCATCAATGACCGCCAAATGATTACTTATAAGGAAACAACTCATGGTACAGTATAATTCTTCCTCTATGTCCTTCAGGACATTGGCGATCATGGCTCTCCACAATTTCCTGTCTTTTGTAGCTCCTTTTAAATTTTGTCTTTTTGTTATCTCTTCTAAACCTCATTCCAGGATCTATTTACTGGAGCTCACCAGATAAGTTATGCATTGTTTTCCTCTTTTCCTCTTGCCTTTAATCTGTCCTATGAGTACCAAATTTTCTAAGCCCTCTTTCCTCAATATGTGCCCCAGATATTTCAACTGTCTCTCTCCGATGTTACATATGAGATCTTCTTCTATATACTGTGTTCTTTGAGAGTGTAGGCAATCATGGCGCTCGAGAATTTTTCATGTCGTTTGTAGCTCTTAATAAATATTATCTCTCCTACCCACCGATCAGTCATTCATTTACTCAAGTTCGCTAGGTATGTTATTCATTGTTTTTCTTTGTCCCTCTTACCCTTACTCTGACATGTGAGTACCAATTTTTCCAAGCACTCTTTCCTCATTTCGTGCCCTTGAAATTTCAACTGTCTCTTTCTGATATTAAATTTAAGTGGCCATTTTGTGGCCATTGTCTCTAGAATTTCGTCGTTGCTCACATATTCGGCTCGTGGCATCCTCAGCATCCTTCTGTATTACCCCATTTCAAGTCTCTTTTTCATCTGTGAAGTGATTGTTCAGCAGTCACTGCCATACAGGAGGATTGATATTATGCAACAGTTCAGTACTCTTTTCTTTGTTTCTAGCGACATTTTTCTATTTCTTAATACTTTGCTTAGCTTTTGGAAGACATCTTTCTCTATATAGATGCGCCTTTGGGTTTCTGTGTCGCACTTCCCGTCCTAAAAAGGTCAAACAAGAGAAGGAAGAGTGTGTTGCGCAAAACGAAGAGGGTCTTTTACTGTAAAAGTCAGCATTAATAACACTGGCCTTCCTGTACCTCCTTCTCTTCAGTTCCTATATCTATCTATCTATCTATCTATCTATCTATCTATCTATCTATCTATCTATCTATCCCAGTTTGTTTCTTATCTATCTATCTATCTATCTATCTATCTATCTATCTATCTATCTAAATAGAGAGAAAATGGAATTTTAGACACTAAGTCTAAATTTAAATAACAATCCAAATAAAACTGCTTAAATTAAAGGTGTACCCACACTAATTAATATCACGATGAAGACTGTTTTTAGTGACTGTGCCTGATGTATTGAGATTTTGGGCCTAATTATGGATAAACAAACAATCTTCTTTTCTTTGATGGACAGGAAAGGATTTTTTGGTATTTGCTGGGTTGGCCAAAAAGTTTGTTCGCTTATTAAGTAAAAACTTTACTTTATAAACCAAACACACTTTTTGGCCAAACCAATAGCAAGTGTACCTTCTTTTTCTTCTATGTGCCATTGAGGATCATGACTCTCCACAGTTTCCTATCCTTTGTAGTTTTTAATATTTTTTTTGCCATTTACCCCAAACCCTGCCATTCACTGAAGCTCGCCACGTAGGTTCTGTGTTACTTTCCTCTACTCTTACCTTCAGTCTGTCATGTGAGTATCAGATTTTCCAAACCCTCTTTCCTCATTATGTCCCCTAGAAATTTCAACTGTCTCTTCCTGGTGTTAAATCTAAGAGCCCATTTTGTTGCCACTTTATCCTTGCTCACGTATTCGGGCCATGACATCCTCAGCATCCTTCTGTAGAACCACATTACTATTGCTCCAAGTCTCTTCTTCATCAATGCAGAGACTACCTATCATTTACTGCCATACAGGTGGATTGATATTACATAACAATGATATTACATTATATATTACATGATATTACAGACTGATATTGCATAACAGCTGAGTAATCTATTCTTCGTTTCTAACAAAATTTTCCTGTTTCTTAATACTTTGCTTAGCTTTTGGAAGGCATCTTTCATTATCCTTCAAATTTCAGTTTCACACTTTCTCTCCTCTGTTAAAACACTTCCCAGATATTTAAATCACCAATGATTAGAAAAGCATATATTTTATACAACAGGTATTTATTTTTCAGCATAATCTCTTTCCTTGTTAATGCACTTAATTCAGTAGAGAATATTAACCTTATAGAACGAACATGAAGATTTCAAGTCAAAAGTCCTGAAATCCTCTAAAACTAAAACTTTCTTTCTTACAACAAGATTTCACTTATTCTTCTTCCATGTGCCATATCCATGGGCGATCATGACTCTCCACAACTTCCCCTCTTTTTTATTTCATCCTTTTTATTTTGTCTCTGCTTTATCATCTATCTACACAACCTCATTGCTTACGTCTATCTCTCCTTTCCTTATGGCAAAATGATTCCCGTACGATCACCAAAGTTAAGCAATGTCGAGCCTGGATAGTACCTAGATGGGAATACAAGGTTCTGTAGACTTGGATGTGTGGGTGGTGGACGATGACAATGGACAATGAGTAGGAATTTTTAATCGGAGAGAGCCAAGTTCCAATTCCAGTCGGGTTTGTTATATTCACTTACTCACAAAATACCCTCTTTTTCCCCCAGCTATGGGTTAATTAGTAAGATTCGTATCACTAAACTATTATTATCTCAAAAAACAATTCTTGCAATCTAAAAATATTTTCTGGCTTTAAATAACTTGTAACGGGTTGATAAACCGTAAAAAATAAATAAATCAATCAATCAATATGCCTCTCCTGCCTTCAGTGTGTCCTGCGGGCATTTAATTGTGCAAGACCTTTATCCTCATTATGTGATCCCCCCCCCCAATTTTTTTTTTCTGGTTTTAAGTACAAGTGTTCTTTTACCTTTTTTTTTTTTTAAACTTCCTCATTGTTCACATGTTTGGTCTATTGTATTCTCAGCATTCATCACTCACTTCAGGAGACTGACTCATTGTGACTTCTCGGGCTAATGTTTTCTGCTGACATGAAGTGGAAAGATTATATTGAATCTATTTCTAGGTCTGCTGCTAGCAAAGTTGGTTCACTGTGTTGTGTTAGACAATTTTTCTTATCAGATTCACCCAAGAAAGGCAATAAAGCCACCAAAGCCCAATAAGCTACTGAGTGTTAGAAAATATGAGAAAAAAAAAAAACATTACTAAAGAGTGAGAACAATAAAAGAACGGGAATCAAGAAGACAGACGATACCAATTGATATTGCATTTAAATTTTTAAAGATCAAATTTGACAGGAAAACAAGAAGCCGGAAGAGAGTCATACAAGTGCAATAGAAGAAACTGTTAGCATAGAACTTACGGTTACATATAGCCATTTCAACAGTAAAACTATGAGACAATTGCCACCAATCTAGTACTGCACTTAAATTCATAGTGTTTAGGTACCATAGAGGAAAGTTTTTCCGTACAATTACCATGAAAGTATTTATAGAAAAGACACACACACACACACACATGTATATATATTTTTTAGTGAAATTGGAATAGATTTGGACTAGCAAAATCGATCAGAGCATTTTGTTTACTGATGGGAAATCCGATCTAGGGCAAGAGCTGTACCCATTGGAAGTCGGTCATTAGCAGACAATGGAAATGGTCGAAATAATTTTTATTGATTATGACTTGGAATAGAGCTGAGTAAGCAAGGAGGACCTTCAGAATTCACATGATTTTGGTTGAAACAGCCAAACCCCGTGATAATCACATTTGCCAAGTAGTAGGGCCAAGGTTCAGTTGTAACCAGACGGATTTTTTCTATATAAATGAAAAGAGGCAGACGGAAGAGGCAATGGAAGAGCAGATGAGAAACTGAGAGAATTAAAAGGGCAAGAGTTGGGCTAGAGAAAGAAAAGAGTCGAGTTGGAGAATCAAGAAGGAGAGAAAGTGACGTCAGAGATTGGAACGAAGTATCTGCTAACATGTACTGTTGATATAAGTACCACTGCTTCTGCTACCATGAATATTACTACTACTGTTACTACTGCTAAGGAGGAACGCCACTATAAACTTTTAAGCCGTGCACAGAAATCTTATTCCCCCATCGCAAGAGTCATATATTGTTCAGAGACAATTTAATAACAAGTTAATCATAACACACTCTCTCTCTGTCCAGAATCCAGTGTATGCGTTTTTACGTCAATTACTCTTTTCTGTAACCACTTTCTTTTCTATACTATTCTTTTCTGCTATATAAGAGACATTAACAACTCAATCATTGAATAGTTATTTGTCTGCCTTTCTGCAGATATTAATTTTTTTTGTTGCATTCTAAATTTCTTAGCGCAGACTCTCCAGCCGTGTTTACATCTTCAGAACATCACTTCTGATTTCTGGATCAAACCAGACACAACGTGGTCAGGAAGCAGGATTAAACCAGTGGACCAGTTGAATAATCTATGGATGCTCAGGGTACCTACAGCCACTCCCTTAAGTTTGGTTAGGACCAAGTAGACACCTCAACCCAGAGATTAAGATATCGGAGGTTGAGGGGCTGGGGCGAGAGTGTTAGATTATGGCAATGGGAAAGTGACTGAAGCCAAGATGCCAGGTCAGGACCAGTAGCAGTGCAGATTCTTTTTTGAAGTTTATCTAGAATCTCTAAATATATAGCAATGGCACCAGACTAGATGTGACAGGAATATTCAAAGCAAGGAAAAATGTTAAACTTATAAATATTTAGCGAGAGGAGTATAAAAATTTATATATTAAACAAAGGTAAAATTATTTACATTATTCGGACCATTGTCCTCATCTTTGTCACCATATTTAACAACATTTCGGCCATTGTATGCTCCGGCCTTCTTCAGGTTGTGTCCTCAAGGACACATGGCACAGTGAATAAAGGCGTTGGTTAGATCCAGTGACAGGACCCAAAGAGTGTGAGTTCAATACCCAGTTAACGCATGATGGAGAACTTTCAGAGGGAAATTAGCAGGAGATAATTGATAACTGACATCCAAAAACTTGGCACATGGAAGAAGAACAGTTTACCCCAGTGAAAAAAAAAAGGGTTCAGTTTGAAATTCCAATCACCTGAAGATCTGATAAGATATAACAACAGCCGAAACGTTTTGATAAATATGGCGACAAAGATGAGGGCAATGGTCCGAATAAGGTAAATAATGCACATAATACCTCACCTCAGAAATATAGACAGACTCCGAAATGTAAAATTATATAAAAAAAATGAAAGGATAAATATAATACAATATATTAGGTTTGTCTGCTCTCCTCTTTGAGAGCTATTTCTGTTTACTGGGACTATAAAAGGACAATATACATAAACCTTGTATTTTCAGCTGAATAAAACTTTCTCAAAGCCTACACCTGCATACTTTTGTCATTATAATTATTATTATTATTATTATTATTATTTGATAAACATGGACCTTTGTGCTTGCAAAAAAACAGAGTGCTGAAAGGATTTTTTTTGCTATTTGACACCACCATTATTTTAACTACCTTCACTCATCAGCAAGGTTTATATTGTTTTAAAAGGCAATGATTAGAATTGTAATAAAAACTCGACATGAAATATATATATACATTTTCTTTGTTCTTGAGAATTTTCAACAAAAATAATAAACATTATTTATTCATTATATTGTTTATTGGAATGGTTGGCAAAACATTGGCTAATTGCCAATTAATTAAAACTTAATAAATGGTAAATAATAAGAATTTCTTTATAGTTGGTTCACATATTTTAATAATTTACCAAATGTTTATAAATTTATGAATAAAAAAATTATTTCCATATTTATTTCTTTATAAATTGGTGAAGGATAAATATTGGATTGCATTAGTTTTAATTGTATTAGTTTTAGAATTTTGTGAATATAAAATTAATTATGTAATAAACAATCTAATAAATAGTGTTTAGTATTTTTGTCTTCAGTTCTGAAGAACAAGAAAAATATATAATTTCACTTACCATCGCATGTTTTTAGTTTTATTCAATTCCAATCATTATCATCGCACAGCAATCTTCTATGTCAACATAACAGAATATCATCTTTGATGGTGCATATCTTTGTTTAAATGTCCATATACCTACTCTGATGATGGCTCATGTGAGTCAAAAGCTTAGATCAGGAAACAACATAATAAAAAAAAATATCCAAATGTTGCAGTTTTTGTCTTTATT